ATTTCAAGGTCCGACGAGTTGAAAACATTATGACTGTAAGCGCGGTTGGTGTTTTGTGTGGACAGGGGTAGAAAAAGCAAGAGGAGCAAGTCACGCCCATCCCCGTCCAGCCACGCCCGTGAGAGCGGCTTGTGCTTCCATTTTTGAAGGGGCCTAACCCTCCTTCGAAAAGTGGAAATTCTCATCCTTTCATGCGACAGATTTATCAGAAGACCATCTCTCTTCGTGTGAAGTGGGTCTTGCCCCACACATTTCAACAGAGAGAGAGCCACTCGGATCAACCGAAAGGGCATATTTTTTTGAAAGTTTCCAAAGTTCTCCGTTTTACTTAGCTATATATTCCCATCCCAAGGCATTTGCTACAAAATTTTCATGTCTGTGGGAAGCGCCACCTTGCTGGGGGCAACCCCGCCCAGTATGGGTATATTTCCCTTATTTCATGCACCTACCCAAGTTACGACCTTCCGACATAAGCGGCTCACGGTCAAGGACAAGCCCCGCCCATACAGGGCGGTGCTTAACTCACTTCATTTGTCGCCATGTCCGGCTCTCGATGAACCTCGGCATAATCGTTGAATATTTATTTGCTTCAAACTTCACACGAGGTTGGTATACACAGTGAACGGCTAACGTTTCGGCACGATTGCCTTCTTCGGAGCCTGGAAGTGGAAATCAATTTATGATTTAAACGACCAAATGTCATACTACCCTACGAGACCTTCGAGACCCCCTAACCCATCACATAATTCATAGGGAAAACCAACTACCGTACCTTTGAGATCACGAGATCAGCTGGCGTTCGACGATATGGTTGCTTGTCGCCCGTGATCGCATCCAGGTTCCGGTAGGCTTATATAGGGGGTTAGCTCGCGCGTAATTGACACGCATTCTCCCCTGCGGTTCATTTTTGGATTCGTGACCCGAATCCAAATGCCTCCAGGGTTTTGCGCGCGGATGTTTGAGTTGCATACGCAAGGATATTGACCGTGACCTCAAAATCCTCTCCGTTATGACTTTCGACCCTGTGGCAACCAAGGGCTGTCGAGCATGGGCCAATATTCACGGAACACTTCATTTGTGTTCCGTGAATCTGGGCCCATGCCCGCCTCAACCCACCCCTGATCCGGTCCCTAAAAGTGGCTTTCCACATGATGCCGGATTGCCGGGCAGACAGACCGACACACAGAGAGACAGATGAAGCCCTTTATATTAGTACGAAAGAACCACACATGGTTCACGAACACACGCAGTTCGTGCTAATAAAGTACCGCCATTTGGCGATCGAAATCAAACGTGTCGATTCTGAGAATACCCACAATTGGGCATACCGTGAGCCGAATTAGTTGCCCAAGCTTGAGATAATTCTTATACCCTTAAGAGGAGGGAAGTTCTGGGGTTAGGCCCAGGCGGTATGGAAAGGAAAGCAAAATGCCAAACTTCGCACGCTGTAGCGTTGGTGTTCCTAGGTGAATAATTGAGGGAGCAATGTGGCATTCGGGCTTGTCCATGTTGTTCTTAATTTAGGGCTTAATATTGGATACTTGTATTCCCGTTGTCTTGAAGCTTATAATTCAAGTCCACGTGTTATCTTGACTGTCGGGATGGCCTTTGTAGTATTTGAAGAAATCTTCTTCCATGTCAGGCTATTGGACAGGTTCATTCGTTCAGGTGATCAAAGCGTATCGCATTCTGTCGACGGACACTCCGACGTTGGTCGTGGAGGTGGCCTCCGATCCGCCAGCAATATTTGAATGGTTCTGCAATGACAAATCGGTGCAACAGGTGCTACCTAACGTCTAGGGTTATGGCAAGGGCTCCAAAAGCGTAAATAGTTGAAATTTTAGGATCGTCGACGCTTCCAAGCCCGTCATGGACTGAACATAACCACGTTAACTGTACACGAACCTGAGCAGGGCGTCTACAAGTGTACGGCACGAAATCCGGCTGGAACCAGTACCAGTTATGGATATATAACTGTCAATTGTGAGTTGACCTGTTTTCTCAAAGGGTTACAGACTACGGAGTATGAGGGGGGGGAGGGGTGTTTGGGGGAACAGGGTGATGTCAGGCTTCATATCTATCTGCCGTTGTCGCATTCCGGCATGCCTGTCTCACTGGGAAATGCCAATGCAGTTTCAGCAGTTCCCGCATTTATTGTACCGGGCAGCCCCCTGAGTGGCAAAATTGGCTCGCTATGCTCAACGTAAAAAAAAACCGGGGATCGAGGTCAAGAAAGGAGTCGTGAAAATCTCGGTGCATAAATAGGTTTCTCAATAGCGTTTTATAGAAAAGGGGTAATAAAATGTTCATTGATAGCGGTAATCCTTAAAGACACATGGTACGCTCATACACATTGAGGGTGTATGAGACTATCAGCCCCCAGATGTCGATGTGTCGTGGTCCCCCCGCCCAAACATGCCCAGGAATGGAGATACAGGGCCGTGAAACACGCTAATTCTTCCATGCTCCGCCCACTGCCTTTTTACGGCGCAGATTCCCGCCGTTCATAACATCCGTTGCAAGCGCGCCTGTCGCGTGCGGCTCCTTGGCATTTTGCCAAGTCCTTTAATTGCGCGCTCTTAAATACAAGGAAAACGCAATTTCCTGATGCGGATAACATTGGAGGTGCTACAAAATAAGAGCAGAAGATGATGACGAGGGTCAGAACTTAAAAGCAACTGTGCCACTTCTGCAACATCCGGAGGCCGCGTATTTCCACGAAACATGAAAATAAAAACGGCATACTCGTTAGTTTAATACAAGCAAGACGCAATTTCCTGATGCGAATAAAATTTGAGGTGTTGCTCATGCTTCAAAATCCATGTACAAGGAGATGAAGATGACACAGGCTAGAAATGAAGCACAACGATGTAAATGTAAACAAAACAAAAATGAAAAAATCAAGGAAAGGCAAATTAGATAAACTGGCCTGTAAATTTCTACGATCCGGCGCCAAAGCCATAGAAATACTTAGAACAAACGAGTGGGACGCTTGGGCTGTTTTTATTTTCATGTTTTGTGGGAATGCGCGGCCCTTTGATGGATACTGCAGATGCAGCCGAGTTGCTCTTGAGTTCTGCCCCTTGTCATCATCTTCTGCTCTTATTTTGTAGCACCTCCAATGTTATCCGCATCAGGAAATTGCGTTTTCCCCTGTTGCTGACGAGCACTAATTAAGAGAGCTTGGCAAAGTGCCAAGGAGCCGCACGCGACAGGCGCGCTTACGACGGATGTTATGAACGGCGGGAATCTGCGCCGTAAAAAGGCAGTGGGCGGAGCATGGAAGAATTAGCGTGTTTCACGGCCCTGTATCTCCATTCCTGGGCATGTTTGGGCGGGGGGACCACGACACATCGACATCTGGGGGCTGATAGTCTCATACACCCTCAATGTGTATGAGCGTACCATGTGTCTTTAATGTGAACTTGCAAGAGTACATGTCTAAACGGGAGCTTTGAACCATTAGGAGCGTGCCATCAGGGTGCAACGTCTCAATGGGTGATATGGCGTGGTCATTACGATCCCTGCCGAGTTGTCCCCTCCGGTACGAACCCCTTCCCTTTAATACTCTCATCGAACCTCGATTTTTATCAATCTGCACAATTCTTAACTGATATTTTCTCAACCTCGTTGAGCGGGAGGGAGGGGCGGGGCTGTATGATTGCGGCCCTGAAAGGCGGAGACAGCCAAGCATAGAAAAATTTCTCTCGGAAACCAACGCGATCCGCGAGCACCAAATATGAGCACTCTGATAGGTTTTTACAATCGTGGTGCTGTAGCACTGAGCCGAACCCAGATCCTCTGACACGCTCCAGCGTCTGCAGCGCAAATTACTGTACTTTGTCCCTTCCTGTCAATATCGCTCCAATACCTCTTGCACAACCTCACCCTGCATCTCACAATACAATCGATAGGTCAGATTTCTGTCGAGCAAAGGGAACATATACCAGTATATACTTCACAGGGAACAGTGATTGCATTAATTATGGAGGGACACCGACGTAAAACTCCTGTGAGAAAGGCAGCAACGTTAGTTAATTGCGAAAGCATTCTGGCAGTCAGCATTATTTAAACCTTTAATGACCTAACCTTTCGAAACCAGGCCGGTAATTTGCCGAATTATTTGAAAACCACCCGGCGCAACCTATGTACAGGCCACGGTACTAGGCTAATGGTTTCCTTAGGCAATCAGGGAACTATCGAGACAGCACCCTTTCTGAGCGAAGAGTGCAGAAAGCAGAATCAGGCCCTGCTCTCGCGAGTACCCTTTTCCCTTTTTAATTCTGTTGGACCCCATGCATATGTGGTGTTCGTGTTCACGGTGTCGCACTGCTCCGGGGGTTAAGTTCTCACCCAAGGAGAGAACTCCATGTGCTTGGGCGCCGGCAACAGAAGGCTTCGTGCTGAACGGATGCGATATTCGTGTTCAGGTGAGTAACTACCTCTGGAAACCAACTTTCAGGCGAAGCTGGAGTTCTGACCGATCTTGAAAAATGGGCAATGAAAGACAGCCTCCAGCCTCTGGCAGCGTTCATATTTTACGACTAGGGTTCCACGCGGATATGTTAGCTCTCGTTACTCGAGGAGCGATCATGCCTCGATCCTGTATTCTGAGTAATTTCGTAGTTGTTGCGGCTTAGAGTTGCAACGCCTCGAAGTTCTTCTAGCAAGCATCCAAGTCGACCATGATGGGGTGCGGGCGGGGGGCGGGGGGGGGGTCAGTGCAGTAAAGGCAAATCCACCAAGTATAATAGAAAAATCTACAAAGGGCCCATCTTTGGCTAGATGGTCCACACAACATGTGAGCGTTCAAACAATTTCTGCTTTCTGTTTTTCTTTTTTTGCTTTGCCTTAATCCGCTTGTCTTTCAGTCGAACATCAATACGATGAATGGACGATAGTGGATCGAAGTATGGTGGCAGAGGAGGGCCAGACTACTGTCACCGTGCATCGATCCCCGCGTTTCATTAATCAGGTAATATTCCTTTTATCTTGCCCGAGTCAGTGCTCAGCTCTACATTTCAACTGGATCTTTCCAGGTTCCAAATCTGACCATCCAGCCGGGTAGTGAGGCGGTAATCGACGTAGAAGTGGATGCTGACCCTGCTGCACGGTTTGTACTTTGGATTTTGAGGCCCTTTATCTCTTCAGGAATTGAGAGTCCTCTCCGGTTGCAGGTTCACGTGGTTCGTAAACGGACGTGAATTCCGCGAGTCCACAAACGGTGTCGAATTGTTCTATCCAAGTATGAATCGATGTGTCGTCAAATTTGCGTTCCCCGTTTCTGGGGAATACAAAGTGGTCGCATCGAATGTTCACGGTTCGGCAATGAGCAGCGGATACATAGAAATTCACAGAGGTACAAATTTTCTATGAAACTGAAACTTGTTAGTCGTGGTTGACTGAAACGCAGTCAAGAAGAAGATAGCGCGGGTGAAAGCACTCGTTTGAGAAACACCATCATCTGGTGGGGCTCACTCGAAGATTTGAAATGGCCGAAAGCCATCTTTCAGATTAGCGCGAATAGGCGGAGACTGCAACACTCGTTGACCAACATACCGTTGCCTTGCTCATTGTGCGCCCCTAATTTAGGATGTAAAGGAGGAGCGCTTGCGAGGAAGGCGAAAAGTTCGAGAGTCTCCATTGATCCCTTCATCGTGACTTGGAAGTGAAAACGGATGAAGACGAGTCTGCCATAACTTAATAATGAATGAATATGCAGTCTACGCAAAATTTAGGAGCCAGGAGAAGCAAAATAGCAGACATCAGCACGGGGCGAGTCAATTGCGCTCAGAAAGAGCCATTTGAGAAAACCTGGCGCCTTGGCACTCCTACCTGACCATAAGAGCTTCGTGACATGGAACTGGCGCAGGACTTCCATCACGATCACTACCTCTTTGCCCACGCAGGACTTTGATTATCACGCGTGGCTGCAGGCTGTATGAGTATCACCCTTTCCGAGCTCTTTTCAGTGGTTGCTCAGTAAATATGTGTGGTATGTGCAAAAATTAGAACAAGTAGGTTATGCATAAGAAAACAAAATCACAGTAGAGGGTTTGAAGATTTGGTTACATCCGTGAGGATTTTTTTCTCAAGGAATCCAATGAAGACTATCGTTTGGTTTAGGAGAGTTCCGAAAGACTATCGAGGGGTGATACCAGAAATTTGTTGATCAGGCCGATTGGAACTGGTTTGATATGTGCCTCCCATTCAGAGTTCTGAAAGCGTACACATAGCTTTCAGATTATTTGGAAGTGGTTTCCGATATCAGCTAAAAAGGTCTTGGTCAGGGTGGACTTCTCCGTTTAAGCTGCGGAATTAGTGCATCCTCCACCCTTGCATGCAGGACCACATTGTCCAGAGAAGGTGTCTGAACATCAAAATAAAAGCGAACCGTGCCTTCAAAAATCCGGCTAGAACACCTTCGTGAAGGGTGTTGCAATGAAGGGGATCTTGAACACGCATGGTGACCTTAGTAGCGGTACTTTTTGACCTGCACAGTTTTCTTTTTTCTCCAATAATCCGTGTCATCATAGATGACTGTAACTCTACTGTGTTTAAGGGCAAAAGCGCTTCGAAGCAAATGCGTCTCCGTTTGGCCGCGCGGCCGGCGAGCATATTTCCCGCAACATAATGGCAACCAGTCATCATGCCGGTAGTACTGCTACCCCAAGTGCCCCTGACGGACAGGAATTACGCCAAACGCACCAGGTAAGTCCCATTGAAGCGCGCTCTTACCTTAAAAGTGATTGCTCCATTTTTAGACTGTAAATGTGTACGAAGTGAACTACACTCAACGTGCATCGAGTGTTCCACGAGGTGTTCGTCATCTGGAGAGTCACGTGGAGCTCCCGTCTCCAACCAGGAGAAGAGTCTCTTTAGAACAACATCGTGCAGGTAACAGGGCTCCTAGTGAGGGATTCTTAGCCTCTTACTATCGATACTTTCGTGTTCTTCTTTGTCGCTTCTTTCGCTGTGACTTTCGTTGCTCTCACACGTTCCTTAGTTCGTCGATGTGCGTGTGGTGGTGACTTTATAGATAGACAGAGAGATTTCGAGTCAAACAGCTTCATCTTCGAGAGCTGGACCAAGTGCCATTTCGCATGTTTTGACTGAATGAGATGAGTAGTGTGTAGAAGAGTAGGAGAGTGCAGCGAAAGTTGCTTGGCTCGAATAACTGCATAATTCGTGTGAACTAATTCCATTTCAGAGCACGGCAAAACACTGCCTGATCGTCTTCCACGTACCCTCTACAAAACGCGAAGTGAAGGAGCCCGCTATCTGCCCCATGCACCGAAGTTCATCACCACTCTTCCACCTGAAATCACCGTGAATCCAAACGAGAAACTCGTGCTTTCCGTCGATGTCTCCGCCATTCCGACAGCGGAATTCCGATGGGATGTGAACGGATTTGAAGTGAAACCGTCGAAGAACATCACGCTCCTTAACGAACAAAACCGATCGACGTTGGTGGTGCAACCGCCTGTCAAACAGGGCAAATAGCAACTGTGGTGCCGCTTTTAATAGCAGAAGGAGCGGGAGAAGCGCAGCTAACACGGTGCTCCACGAGATACATGTAGTGCAAGAAGCCCCGGCGGTTGACACCAAGACCGGTCCTGACATCAAAGAGTCGTCAGTGACGGTCACCAGCACGAACGAACCCGACTGGGAGGTCTTGGATAGCGTCGCATCGACTGCTTCCACGACCTCTTTCAAGACTGTCCAAAGAGAGGATACCGCCTCTGAAGACAGAATTGACGACAACGACAATTCAAGAAGAAAAGACTGTCAGTTTCGAGGAGGTAGCCCCACAAAAAACAGTGATCCAAGAACTAACCACCACGGAAGAGAACGACCACAAAAGACAGCAGCACCCTTCGTAAAAGCGATGTCTGCTCCACGAACTCAAGAGTACATTCCTAGAAGGCCAGTTCTGTTGTCGGAACCTTGGCAAGGCCTTCATCTAAAGGCTGGGGAAAACCTGGTTCTTGAGGTGAAAGTCGAAAGTATCCCGCCAGCCACATTTGAGGGTGGTATGTGAACATTTCGAAGTCAAGTGGGATGGAGCAGTTCGTCTCAATTTCGCAACCGTCAGAGAACGTTTCCATCGCGATCTTCTCGAAACCTTCTCCAGGACAATACAAAGTGGTTGCGGCAAATCCACTCGGTGAGGTGACCGCTGTCACCAGAGTAACGACAGAGCACACAGTGGAAGAGAGAACGACCGTCACCACCACCACCACTACGACCC